GGCACACCTTGGCATGGCTCTCCTGGGCTCTTCCCCGCCCCCAGCAGAGGAACCGCCGGGGGAAGCCAGCAGGGAAAGTGAACTGCAAGAACATGAAGCAGGACTGCCCCGTGCCCACCTGTCCCCGGGCCACGCTGCTGCCCGGGCACTGCTGCCACACTTGCCCCAAAGGTGAGGCAGCAGGAAAAATGAACTGCAAGAACATGAAGCAGGACTGCCCCGTGCCCACCTGTCCCCGGGCCACGCTGCTGCCCGGGCACTGCTGCCACACTTGCCCCAAAGGTGAGGCCCTGCACCCACAGGGTTCCCCATGGGCATGGGAAAGGGGGCACTGGAGCACACCCCCCCCCCAAAAGGGCTGCTCGCTTTGTTACAGAGGTTGCCAGTGCCCTTGGGGTGCCCGTGAGGTGCTGGGCAGGGGGAAGCCCTGATGGGCACAGCCATCCCCGAACCACCTTGGGAGGGGTGCAGAGGGGGTGCACAGGGCTAAACACCCTGCCTGTCCCCCCATGCCCCCCGCACCCCAGCGCAGAGCCCCATGGTGATTTGCAGGGCATGTCTCAGTCTATCTCAGGAGCGGGGATTTATTATTGCCCCCCGCCCCAAGCTCTTGGGCACAAGCAGCCTGGTGCAATGGTCTCCCTCTGTGCCCATCCCATGCCAGCCTTGCCAGGCCCCCCGGAGAAGAGCCCCGCGCCCCCCTTTGACACCTTCGAGTACTTCCAGGACAAGGAGGACGACCTGGACAAGCCCTACAACGACCGCTCCTACCTCAGCTCCGAGGGGCTGGCCCGTGATGATGCCCGCACAGGTGAGCCCCCACCCGGGCAGGCAGCGGCGATGCGCGGCACCCTCCGAGCTCCTCACCATCAACGGCATTCCCTTCCCAGAGTTCGTGGCGTTGCTGACGAGTGGCCCGGAGCCGTGGCATCCCACGTCCAGCGCGGTGGCGAAGGCTCGCCTCACACTGCTGCGCTCCTACCTGCTCTTCTCCATCAGCTATGAGCGGTGAGTCCTGCCCCCTGCCCTCTGCCCAGGCTGGCACAGCAGGCACCCCCCTGGAAAAGGCGGGGGGGGATGCAACAGTGTTTGTGCCTCAGTTTCCCTTCCAACATCCCCCCCCAGTGCCACAGCCTTGCATTGGCAGGGCGACAGATTTGGGGAGGGGGGAGATGTGCTGGGGGTCTAGCCCGGGTGAGCAGCTGGAATTTCAACACACCCGTGGTACCGGCCTGGCCTCACCCCTTTGCCTCCAGGTCTGGAGTGGGAACAAACGGGAATGGCTCCAGGGCTCCATCGAGGACACGGGCACAGTGGGGCAGAGGCATCATGCCACCCTGCAGGCTTTGCCAGTGGGCACCAAAGGGGCACTGCCACCAGGGTCCCCCATCCTTGCCGTGCCCTCCCCGGATACCCGCCAGCAGCAGAGCCTCCCCTCTCCCTCCCTCCCTCCTTCCCACTCCAGTTTCTTCTGCTCTTCCTCGCTTCCAGGCCCCTTCGCATAGTAAAGTGGTGACTAATTTCCAGCTCCAACCGGGGGAGCCAAACAGAGCCGAAAATGCTCCTAATTTACAGCCGGCCCCAAGCGCTCTGCTCCTGGCGGGTCCTGCCCTGCCGCCTTTCCTGGCGGGGACCCCCTTCCTGTGTGGTGCCAGTTTGGCACCGCTCTGGGGCAGGGGAGCCCAGGGGACCTGTGCCAAGCTGGCACCCAGTGGGATGGCAGCATTGGGCCAGCCCAGGCATGGGCAGGCAGAGCGTGGCACTCAGCACTCCGGGGGGACATCATCCTTCTCTTTCCCACCCCAAATCGCTGGGCACCCCCCCCCGTACCCTCCTCGATGCACTCCTGTGCCCGGTGCTCAGCGAGGGTAGTGCCAGAGGAGGGGGGTCCTTGCTCACCCCCTTGGTGCCCACAGGCTGGGGCGGCCGAGCCGGGTGCGTTTCAGTGACCCCGAGGGAAATGTGCTGTTTGAACACCCTGTGCAGAAGAGCGCTACCCCCGAGGATGGCATGGTGAGAGGGCCCGGGAGGGCAGGAGGGCACATCACCCCTTCCTTGCCCTGCCCGGGGGTCCCTGCCCAGTCCTGCCCTCACTTGCAGCTCTGCGGGATGTGGAGGACGGTGTCCAAGGCCAACATCCAGCTGCTGCGGGGGGAGCAGCTCCGCGTGTCCCTCGTCACCCGGGCGCAGCCCTCCGGAGAGGTCCACGGGCACATCCTCAAGCACCGGGCACTCTTCGCAGGTAAGTCTGGCTCTCATGCACCCACCCAGTGGGTGCCCACCGGGATGCCCCTCATGCCGCCTCTTCCTGCACAGAGACGTTCGGTGCCATCCTGACCTCGTCAGACCCCACACACCTGGGCGCTGGGGGCATGGCCATGCTGACACTGAGTGACACTGAGAACAACCTGCACTTCATCCTCATGGCTCGAGGGCTGCTGGAGCCTGGCGCCGGGGGTGAGGGTGGGCACGGGCACCCTGTGGGGCCTGGCGCTGCCTGGGGGGGCTGCACAGGGCTGGGGGGTGCATGGCATGTATGTGGCTCAGGATGTGTGGTCAGCATCTGTGGGGTCAGGGTGGGTGCAGGGGCTGTGCATGGTGGTGGTGGGGGGGTGTTGAGGTGTGCATAAGGGTTGTGGCATGATTTGGGGTGTTCATGGGTATGGGGTGTGTATCTACGGGGGGGATGAGGCCAGGGCGTGCTGGAGGGCATATGCTGGGGTTGGTGTGCAGAAGGATGGGTTTGGGACGTGGTTGTGCAAGGATTTGGGGCTGCAGGGGGAATGGTCAGGGTCTCGGTGTGTGCAGGGGTCCACGCATGCAGGACAGGACAGGCAGCTGGCAAGAAAGTGGGGGATCAGGTGCAGGGGTTTTTGGGCGGTGGGCACAGAGTGGTGGGATTGAGGGACAGAGGGACAGTGGTCACAGACCCCCGGTCCAGCGGGTCCAACACCCTCTGCCATGGACAGAATCCCCCTGGGTCCCACTGCGGGTCCGCATCCTGCACCAGGGCCAGACGCTGCGGGAGGTCCGTGCCAACATCACCGAAGAGGTAAAGCCGTCGGTTCCCCCACGTGCCCTGGCAGCCGCGGTGCCTGCCACGCCAGGGCTGAGCCATGGCACCGTGTCCCCCCCAGCAGGACCCCGACTTCGCGGAGGTGCTGAGCGAGCTGTCTGCCCATGAGCTGCAGTGGCTGGTGCAGGGGCAGCTCCGCATCGTGGCTGAGACGGAGGGTCGGCACGCACGCCAGCTGGCGGGCACCATCACCACCCGCCGCAGCTGTGACAGTGAGCATGGGGCAGCACACTGGGGCGCAGGAGGGGTGGCCTTGCCCCCCCCCCAGGCCAACCTCACCCCCTTTCCTGTGCCTCTCTCCCTGGGCTGAAGCCATCCAAAGCGTGCTGTGTGGAGCAGATGCCTTGCTGCCCACCAAGACAGGGGCTGTGGGCTCGGCCAAGCTGGCACTTCACGAGAATGGCACCCTGGAGTACCAGGTAAGTGGGGGGCACCCGTCTCCCTCCTGGGGTCCCAGAGGTGTCTCCCCCCCAGCACTGCCCCTAGGCACCCTTCCCGCAGGTGCAGGTGGTGGGCACTGCCAGCGAGGTGGTGGGCATCACGCTGGAGACCAAGCCCCGGCGGAAGAGCAAGAGGAACGTGCTGTTTGACATGACGCCCAGCTACAAGGACGGGCTGGTGAGCGCTGGGTGGCACTGGGGGGGATGGCACAGGGACCTTGAGTGAGTCCCCATCCCAATCCATGTGGTCTCCCACTGGTGACAGGCCCAGGGTGCCTGGCAGACCCCCAGCGCCCGCGATGCCCACATGCTGCTGCAGAACGAGCTCTTCCTCAATGTGGCCACCAAGGACTGGGCAGAGGGCGAGCTGCGGGGCCAGGTCATCTCCCTGCCCTACAGTGGGCTCCTTGCCCGCTACACAGGTACCCGGGGGGCACCAGGGGTGGCAGCAGGGGCAGTGGGGCAGCTCCTCCGCCCGCCACCTCCCACAGCCCCTGTCTGTGTGCAGAGATGCCTGTGGCACTGGCAGGGCAGCTGGTGTCCCCACCGGTGGGCAGTGGCGCCGGGGGGCACGCCTGGCTCTCGCTGGATGAGCACTGCCACTTGCACTACGAGATCTCAGTGGCGGGGGGGGGGATGGCACTGTCAGCGCTCACCTCCATGGAGTGGCTGAGCTGGGCGAGATGGGTGCCCGTCCCCACCAGCACAAGCGCCTGCTCAAGGGTTTCTACAGCACCGAGGTGAGGTGGGCACCCAGTGGGGGCACCCCACAGCAGGGACCAGGCCAGCCCTCATGCCCCCCACCTGGTTCCCCTCTAACCCTGGCAGGCACAGGGGGTGGTGAAGGACCTGGACGCCAACCTGCTGCAGCACCTGGCCCAGGGCACTGCTTTCCTGCAAGTCAGCACCAAAGCCCACCCCCATGGCGAGATGCGAGGACGGGTAGGTCCCCACCTGGGCAGGGCCCCCCTACCAATCCCCACCACTGCCCAGGGTCTCCAGCTGGGTGATGCTGCCCAGAGCAGGGTGGGAAGTGGATAGGAGGGGGAGGGGGCACACCGTGGCATGGTCCTGGCAGCCTGGGGTGATGTGTATTGTGGTCATGGGTACTTCCTCCTCCAGCCCTGACCATGGAGGGCAGCTGGGCATCAGCACGGGAAGTGGGATCCCCCAGCAGTGCCAACCCTCCTGCTCCATGCCCCCATCCAGGTGCACATCCCCAACCGGTGCCACACAGGAGGGACCCGCCTGGCCCCGGGGGAGACCAAGCTCTCCGAGGGTGCCAAGACCAGGGACCTGGAGCAGCTGAAGAAGGACCCCAACTCCTGCTTCTTCGAGGGGCAGCACCGGGCGCATGGCACCAAGGTCGGGGGGGTGGGGAGCTGGGGGGCAGCACCCATCAGCAGTGCCCTCCTGTAACGAACCCTGTACCTGCTGCCCCCAGAAACGCACGGTGATCTGTGACCCCATCCTGTGCCAGCCCCTCAACTGTACCCACCAGGTGCACCCCGAGGAGCTGTGCTGCCCTGTCTGCAAAGGTAGCTGGGGGCTGGGGGGGTCCCGGGCAAGGGGCTGGGGGAGCAGGGGGCTTCCCCATGAGTACAAGGTGTGGGGTCCTTCTCTGAGCCTCTGTGCTCCCTCGTGGCCTCCCTCTTCCTTGCAGAGAAGAAGATGGGGCAGGAGGAGCTGAAGCTGGAGCGGGCACGGGACAGTAGCGAGGGTGAGTCCCAGCGGGCATGGCCTGAGGGGGCAGCTCTGTCCCCCAGCCTCCCCAGCACCCTCGCTCCCCCTGTGGGGGCTGTGCCCACCTCCTTCTCCTCCTCTCCCAGGCTGCTACTTTGACGGGGACAAGACATGGCGAGGCTCTGGCACCCGCTGGCACCCTGTCGTGCCCCCCTTTGGCCTCATCAAATGTGCCATTTGCACCTGCAAAGTGAGTGTGGGTCCTAGTGTCATTCCCCCCCAGACCCCTACCCTACCCTGTTTTGGCACCCATGGTGACTGTCCTGAGCTGCCAGGCACCGTAACAGGGGCTCAAACCACAGAGGGGGGGTGCATGCCCTGTACCTCCATGAGCCCCCACGCTCCCTGCAGGGCACCACAGGTGAAGTGCCCCCGGCCCTGCGCCAGCCTCGGCTGTGCCCAGGTCCCTGTCCCTCTCTGGGTGCAAAACCCTTCACGATGCCAGGCTGGAGAACTGTGGTGCCCTGTGCTCCCTGCTTGCCCTCATAGTTCAGCAAATGAACCCATCGGGGGAAACTTGAGGGCAGCTGGTACTTGGGAAGATGCCTGCTGGACCCCAGTAGGCACCAGAGCACCCCAAATTACCTAAAATAGTCCCTTCACTCCAAAAAGCTGGCGGGCAGTGGGAGCCTGTGCCCATGGGCAGCCTGGTATTCTTCTGCTGGAAGGGGCAATGCCAGTGTTTGCTG